CCCCACACCCCGCCATACTCACACCCCCCAACCACCCTCCATCCCCCTACACAATATACAATAGTAAGACTTCATTTTTGAGTTATGCAATCACCTCTATATACACTATGTAACCACAAAAATATTTTTTGCAATAAAATTAAAATACGTTATAGTGGGTGTTTGACTTTTGGTCTTTTTCTGGCTCCAAGATGGCAACGCTCCCCTCCCCTCCCCAAAGGAGTACTTCCAGTCCCAAGATTTTACCAGGGGCAGGGCCACCCTTCCAGCCCTCAACAGCTCACCCAAACTCATTAAGCAGCCCTCCAGCCAAGATAGCAGCTAGCTGGGAGCTGGGAGCAGTGGCACCTTTAGTCTAGAAACCTTCTCTGACTGTCCCCCACCTGCACAGCTGTGACTTGTCACCAGCGGCCTGGTAAGCAGGGCCAGGACTAGGAGCTGTAGGTCAGGTGGAAAGTTTGCCCACAGAGAACAGGAGGGTGGAGAAGGGACCACTGCATCCTGGGATACTGGAGGACTTCAACTTGGGCAGCACATGTGCGGGAAGAGGCCCTTACACCGGGCCTTTAATTATTACCCTTTAATATCTGTAAAGCAGGCAATACTACAAGTGATGTAATTAACTGACAAAGAGGAAACTAATAATTCTAGCCGAGGGAACGGTTGAAATGCTGTGCAGCAAGCGCAGCTTAAGGCCATACGTTCGACTATGAGGATAAAAACAAAATGCAAAATAGCTACTCATCAACCAGCCTCCAATTCTCTGTGCCAAGGTAGGGATCCCCTGGAAAAACTCTGCAATTAAGGACTATCATAATGCATGCAAGCAAGGGAATCAAACTGAAGTTGTATTAGCAAACTTAGACCTGTATGAGGAACCCTGGGGAAATGCCACTCAGATTCCCACCCCTCACTGGTTCCTGGTCCCAATCCTTGGCCACACACTTCCTCTTCCCTCCTTCCCGTCTCACTTTCTCGATCCTCACCCCCCTCCCCATTTTCTTCCCCTCCCCATCATATTGAGCTGCTTGAAAAAATCTCCGTGCTGTCACCCCTTCCCTGCATTGGCCAATTTTCCCCCTCCTCAAAAGGAATTAAGTCAGAAGCAGATACCCTGCACAAATTTCAGCCCAAATGTTTAAAACATGGTGAAGATGCAATCAAAAAAAGAAAGAAAAAAAAAAAAGGAGGGGGATGGTCCTTGTAAAGTTGCTCAGCACGTCCCATTATAAGCGACTGGTACTATCAGGCACCTCTATTTAAAACTCTGGATACTTCCAGGCAAGGCCAATTAATACAATGCAGCAAAATTGGATAAATAGACCTAAACTCCCCTTGCTGCAACTTAAGGTCACAGCTCCTTGTTCTGTCATCTGCCACCAGGGTAGGACTATTTAAAAAAAAAGTTAAATTAATCATGATTCCTTCATTCTTTTTCCCCCAGTACATTCTGTGTTTTTCCTCCTTGATAAAAAGGTCCTAAAATGTTTCCAGCCATTGGTACTTTGTGTTTAGCATCAACTGCAACGAAACATTACAACCTGTCCCCAGAAACCTTACACCAACGCACACAAACGTTACAGGAGGGTTTTTTGGCAACAACTCAAAGCGACTTAGAAGCAAAAGTCCCACTGAAAGTTTGGAAGACTGTGCTCTGCAGTCATGTAGGCAGCTGAAAATCCTGCATCTGTTGATGACCAAAAGCCCTATACGGCTTAAAATCTGAACCCCATAAACATTTCAGATCAACTGAGTTGTCTTTGGGAAAGTCCCTCGATTTGAAAGTGTGCAGACAAATCATTCGTTTTCACCGATACAGCCCTGGACTTCTGAAGGACTGTTTTGTGGGTGATAGCTTTTATTGGACCAACTGCATGGTTAGGATTAAGTTAGACAAGCTTTCTAATGCATCACTCAGGTGATAATGATCCTCCTCCCTTTTGATAGGGCTTGATTTCCCATTAATCAATTTTTTTTCTCCTGCTAACTCTTTGCTACCCCTGGGAATATTTTCCCCTCCCCAATTTCACAGCCCAACCCACTATTTTTATTCACTGCTCTGTGGGCAGCTTTCTTCAAACCTGATGAAGAATGCCTTGCATCAAAAAGCTTGCCTAACTTTCGCCCAACCATGCAGCTATCCCCCAATAAACTCCTTGCCCCTCTCATAATTCCTCGACCAAAGCTACAACATCAATCCAACATTACCCTGGACTTCTGTATTTTCCAGCAGGTCTAATTAATACCACTGATCATAGATATGGTGCAATGACATGGCTTTTGACAACTCTGGCTCCAGACAGATTATTTTAGAGAATGAGAGTCTACCTTTAATCAGTGCAGTGCTACTGTTCCTTCAATGCTGTGACCTGGGTAAGCGGTAAGAGGCAATTTTTTTAGAAATGTAAACCAAAATGGGGTTGCTACAAGACTACTTCGGAAACAACTGAGGTACTTGGCAATCACACAGACTGGAGATTATGCACTAAGATGACTCCTGTTGACAAAACCATACCAAGACTAGATGACTGCAGCCTCTAGCCTTACTTAAAAATTAATAAGTCTGAAAACAGGGCTTCAAATACCTAATGTAATTAAATGAAAGGACAACCTCTAGTCCATCCAGCCAGAAAAGGTTAATCATTCCTCTGGTGGCAATTTCTCTGCTCCTCCCATCAAGGAGAGCCTATATAATTGGAGCTGGTACACACTTAATAGATCCAGGGCTATCTGTGCTCATCAGTGCAATTTGCCCTTTTACTACAGAACAATGAACCTACTAACCATTTAATATAATCAATGCAGACAACAAACATCCCTGCACTTGTCTAAGTCCAGTAAAAGTGTTGTTAACAGTTAAGAAAATTAACTTTCACAGCTCATTACACTACCCAAGAATCCGAGAGCAGTGAATCACACACCTTTAAAGGAGACAGACATATGCAGTCTCGGAGGACGTTGTGCTGGAAGTGAAACAAAGCACAAGGAGTCCCAGATGGAGAAGAGGGGCTTCAA